ATGAGTTTTGGTTACTAAATCTATCTTTTGCACGACGATCAAGGCTATGACTTAAACTAACTTAACCTAATCAATGAAGTGAAAACTGCTCCTCAACTAATCTAAGGTTAAACTAATTCAGTAGAGGGCGCATATAGTGAAATTGGAGTTTAATTAAAAATCCTGTAAGGATATTAAATTAATTAATTAAAATTTTATTTCAAACAATTTTTGTCTTGCAAGTTTTTGTTAAAACCTGTTCCCACAAGGTKTGTGAAAAAGGTGAGAAATTATAAAAGAAGTTCTTAAAATTGAAGCTAAGAGTAAGACAAGTTTCATGTATCCTCGAGAAAATAAAACTTAATTTTTAGGTGATAAACCTTAACGTACATATTCCATTAACTTAAATTTAATTTAAGGAATATTGATAATATAATTTATGGATATGTCTGCCTCATATCATCAGTTTTTCGTACTCACCCACAACATCTAAGTAACCAACTTGACTTTTCATCGGATCCGTATTGATCTGGCACATATACCAGCCTTTGTCCGCTTCCTTGACATCACGTATTCTCAATATCCAAGCACGTTTCTCAGCATGGGTTATGCTCATTCGGTTATTTTTCGTTATAACGTGATTTTATATCGTCAGTATCGTTTGTGTGTCGACGCGCAGCCACGCAATCTAGGCAATGGACCAAAATAACCAGAGTGTTTGCGTGTGGGTAAAGCATAATTCGAGACGTGTCAACCCGTTCGACACAACCCATTTATTTTCATATTAGCAGATAGTACATAGGCCGCAGGACGCACGCATTCATATGCACGTGCGGTCATTAGTTGGTTTTTGTTTATTTGTATTTGCGTATTTTCATTTGTACAAGTGCGTATTGGTGGGCGGCGGGTGCCGATTTTTTTTATTTATCCGTGCAAGTGGTTGTGATGAATTTTCCATGGTGTTCCCGAGGACATTGGCCACATGTCAATATGTGAAAGCATATGTGTAGGTTAGGAAGGAAAGAAAAGGAAAAAAAGAAGAAAATTCATGTAAAATTTCTTTGTTTACCTTTAGTTTAATAGTTGAATGTTTTATTAGCCAGTACTCCGTAGTCATGCCTATCATATGTTGATGAATATAAATATAAGTGTATTTATAAATCTTAGTATACATACATACATCAGATTGCTTGTGGCCGTTCTGAGTCTTTCACTGATCAGCTAAGGTAGAATGTGAGTGCCTTTCTTTGGAGTTAAAGGCAACAAAAGCGTAAAGTAAGTTCATTGAGATGGATGGCTTACTTTCAGCGGTCGAATTCGTGGGAAATCATATGTGAACACAGACATACACCAAGCATATTGTTATCGATTTGCATACATATATTTATTTGGTATTATTTGTTCACTAATAATAGGTCAAGAAAAACTTAGTGTTTAGGGCACATGTAGTGTGACCGTCTAAGAAAAAGCATCTTCTGGGAGCTATTGTAGAGAAAATAATGGCATAAAAATTTTTTAATGTTATAACCTCAAAACCAATTCTACATGAGTAATGAATACATACAAAAAAAATTGAATTATTCGCTAATTAGGATTAGCAAAGCTCCCAGATACGTCCCTTTGTCATGGTAGGTATTTGAAACCTTTATGGTGCATAAATTTGGGAAAAGCGCACTTGAGGCCTCATCATATCGTCCAATCTCACTGTTGCCTATTTTGTCGAAGCTGTTTAAAGCTGAAGTGAAAATAGCTTTATACCAATTCATCAATTTGGATTTAGATCTCTACATTTCACATTAGATCAAGCTCGTCAAATAACAAGCGTAATAAAAGATGACAGGGAAGAAAAGCATATTTGCAAATCTGTTTTCCTTTCCGTATCCTTGGCGTTCGATAGAGTATGGCACCATTGCTTAATTCATAAAATAAGACTTCTCTTTCCACAGTATCTAACTAGTTTTAGCAACCGCTGCTTCGGGGTAAAGCAGAGACAAACTTATAACTACTATACTATGTTACGGTCAATAAAAAACAGGTATACCTCATGGAAGTGCCCAGGAACCACTTATATAGAATTGTTTTTCTGCCGACATGCC